ACAATCAGAATATATACCATACGCAGATGATGTCACACAGATAGTCAGGTACCCAGGAAAATCCGAACAAATGATGGCCATCAGAACAAGCAGAGATCGACATAATAAATAACTATGAAAGAAAATGATAGATAAAAACCAATATATCCCAAAATGCAAAATAATTCACATCTCTCCACATCTGAGAAAATGGCAAGAAAATCACTTCAAACCATTCTGCTCGGGACCTGGAGACAACGGTTCCCGGCGTTATGAAAGATTACATCACGTTTAGCCGCATCCTCACATGGTAGGTGTGGGGGTGGGATGACCAACCACTTGGGTAACACTGGATTTTCCTGCTTGTGGTCTATTTATAATTACTGTGCAAATATAAATATTTCTCTAAATTCACAAAATAATAAAAAAGTTAAAGAATACAGTAATAAATCAATGTAATTCAGAGCTGAGGTGATGGAAACAGGTGGTGAGGTGACATGTCAGAGCACAAACATAAACAGCACCATTAAACCATTGTCTTATAACATTTTACTTTATAATTTCTATTTTAAAATTAATTGATACATGATGGCTCGATTTGGCTACTTTTGCACCTATATAACTGATCAGTGAATAAACCACAATTGCTGAGCAACCACAAAAATTAACACAACCTGTACAGTAGACACTTGCTACTCGCGGTTTGCGATTCACGTTAAGCAGATGGCGGCTATGGTGGCAAGCTTGTGAGCCTTCTCCACAGCGCAACGACTCACCCCACGTGCCCGCAGCATCTCCTCTCCCTTTGTTCACGCTCAACCATTGCCTGTGATGCAACATCTCGTGTTGTACTGTACTCTCAAAACTTCAGTGTTTCTGGGTGAAAATCGCCCCCAAAAGACCGTCTAGTGTCAGTGATAAGTGGAATGAAACGTAAAAGGCAGAGGTCAGTGATGACCATGACAGAGAAAGTTGAATTAATAGATAAGTTAAAGGAGAGGATGAGTGCTGCCGTGGCTGGTGGGTTGTTTGGTGTACTTATACAGTCATGCACTAAGGTAGTATAAGTTGCTATTCGCAGTTTTGCCTATTCGCGCCATTCCTTGGAACCTAACCCCAGCGAATAACAAGGGTTTACTGTACTCAAATGTATTAAGTTAATTATTAAACAAATTTGTCTAGTGCAAACTATTGGATGTTTATACTCAAATTAATTGCTATCTTGCAAGAATTCCAGCAATGCAAGTTATATTCTGTTAAGTCAAGTCAGTGACATTTTCTATGCGAAAAACTTAAAACTCCCTGCCTTTTATAATCCTTGAGTCCCTGATAACCATGCACGTGTTAGTCTCCCCGCTTGGCTGTCAACATCTCACCTTACCCTACCTCCCAGCCGAAGGCAATAAGCATTTATAGGGTGAAGGTGGTTTTAGGCTTAAAGTTTTCTATTATAAAATGGCACAGACTTGACTTAGCAGAATATAGCTTGCATTACTGGAATCCTTGCGAGATAGTGAATAATTTGTGAATAAACATCTCATAGTTTGCACAAACGATAAAAATTTTAGTTCTTCAGCATAGTACATTTGAGTACAAAACAGCACAGTAATATGCTACTCAAAATTATGGTTTATTTTTTCACAGGGAAAAAAGTCTGTAGAACTAGTTCCAGTGATCAGGATATTATGGTATCAAATGTTACAGATTATTTCAAATAAATTCTTTGCTTAGTTCTGTACATAGACACTTGGGCATAGAAACTGTAATAATTTGAGCTTATTAATACCAGTACTCTTCATATACAGTACAGTAAAATCTCTATTTTTACCTTACTATTTGGCTTGTCATTTAAGGATATCATACTGGAACCGTCTTATAGAGAGTCTATTCAGGATCATTATGGAATCAAATTCATCTCTCTAACACAAAGTTTATAACATATGCTGTGAGGTAAGGAGGGAGAGGGTGAATGGTCCATTGGGGTGTAAATGTGACTCCCCTACAAAGGGTCACCTCATCGATTGTTTGTCAGCAAATACTGCCTCATTCATGGTACAATACAGTGTATTGTTTATTTGTTTTCATTAATTAGTAGATATGTTACTGTAATAATCTGTGCTTATTAATACCTACACCCTTCATATACATTACAGTACAGGAGGTCCACAACTTAAGAACGCCCACCAATATGAACTGGGTTAAACTTGAAATTTACGGTATTTTATTTACATGATGATATATTTTTTAATTTCTTTTACTGTATTTAGTAATTCTATTTCTTCTTTTGTCTTAAATTAAGTTATTTTAGATGTATATAAGGACTTAGGCTATGATATAGTGGGATTTTAAACATTGTTTTATAAGTACAGTACGGTATACAAATTGCATGTGTTCCGATGTACAAATCCGACTTACGAATGTCCTCAGGAATGGAACCCGTTCATAGCCCACATTAGCCCAGGGACCCCGTGTACAGTACTATGAATATACCTCAAAGTAAAAAATAATGTCATAAGACCTACTAATCCCCCACCCAACAATGGGTAACCTGACATTGCATCAGGTCAGGTTAGTAGCATGACCCAATGATCTCCCAATAAAACCTCCATCACAAGTGCTAAGACATGATTACAGTTTTGTATTACAGTCAGCTGAATGAGGAGTCTGCCTACTCTAGGGTAAAGATGACAGGACCTGCTGGTGAGTACAATATATACAGTATAGTAGCACAGTAGTAATGTATACATTATTATGTTTATAGTATGAACAATATTCTACTTGTACAGTGGTGTTTGCAGAAATAACTACAGCTCCTACGAGCTGCATCATTTACTCTTGGAAAATACCACACTCTTTGCTGTAACACAGCTGTATTCATGCCCGTATCATATAGAGCAGGGGTTCTCAACCAGGGGGGAATTCAGGTTTTCAGGGGGGGAAAACTGATTCAGGAGCAAGAGATATGTTCGATGAGAAATCAATCACAGAATTTTGGCCCTTGATGTGCGATTCCTACCCAATAGTGGCAGAAAGAGCTATCCGTGCATTGCTTCCGTTTGTGTCAACATATCTTTGTGAGTCAGACTTTTAAACTCTGTTGCAAATTAAAACGAAGCAACGTAGTAGATTAGAGGTAGAAAATGACCTGCGTTGTGCCCTTTCAAGCACTCCTCCTCGTATTCCAGAATTGGCGAAGAAAAAACAATCACAGGTTTCTCATTGACTGTAATCTTCATCTGAATAAAATTAATTATAAATTTACAATATCCTGGTATTCTATTGAACTTTTTGTTTATTGCATTATGCTTCAGATTGGTCTGTTAAGTAATTCATTATAAATATAAAAAACTATTTTACTTTTATTCAAGTTTTATAAATCCATCAACATTTTCAATTGGCATTTAATTTGTAAAACTCCACTATAAAAATAATCCATGTAAAATTGTAAATGTATATGTACTAATATGGAAAAAATAAAGGATTTTCAGTATTATATGCATATTATTTGGAATGCACTTTTTGAGGCAGACAATCTTGGAAAGGAGGGGGGAATGACATTCTAACATATGGTGAAAGGGGTGCATGGGGCAAACAAGGTTGAGAACCACTGATATAGAGCTTTTGTTTTTTTAAATATAATTATTTAACCAAACCTTTAGATAAAGCAATCGGGGTTATTTTTATAAAAAAAAATGGTGTGTAACGAAATTAGAACTGATTTTATTGACTCCGGTATCAACATTTCTCACATTTTGTTTTTAAAAGAATGGAATTCCCATCATTATACCATATCAAAATATTTTGTTTAACAAAATCTTATTGGAAACGTCTCGTAGAGAATTTATTAAGGATCATTATATCAAATTCATATCCCTATCACAATTAGCCACGCTTGAGTGAGGATGGGGGGGGGGCTAACCGCACAACCCTCCCCTCACCCCTAAAAAGGTTTGACTCCCCCAATCTCAGTCCACATTACCCACACTGTGTTACACACACCAATGCCACCCACACTGTGGTACACACCAACACCACCCACACATACACCCCTACATCACCCACACACATCACCCATCATCCCCCCACACACTCCAACACCACTCACACATCCCCGACAAGGGAATTAAGACAGCAAGCATGAAGACTGAGTGTCTTATTGTATGACAAATTTGCCTGTGTGTGACTGCTTGGTAGCGAGTTAAATATCAGCTGTTGAGGGGCGCTTGGAATCACTTATTGCACTCCACCTCTGTAATTACCCACACCTTTCTGCTTTTTCACTCCATATTTGAAAATGTTATGTAACGTAATGTTGAAGGGATACAGCTTTGCTCATTTAAACTTATAATACTTATCACAATCTCCCTAAAAATACTTTAGCTTTAGTCTTTATTTAAGACATCTTCAGATCATGAAACCCACTAATCCACCAACCAGGAAAGGGTAAACTGACATTCCATCAGGTCAGTAATATGAGACCACTAATCCCCCACCCTACCTCCACCTGACATTGTGTCAGGTCAGGTCAGTTAGATGAGACCCACTAATCCCACACAGATCCATGGGGGACGGGGGAATACCAGTCTTTGCTGTAACACAGCTTCATTTATGCCCATATCATATTATTTAAAATTTTTGAATATACAGTACAGTATTTATTTAACCAAACTTTTAGATAAACTATTCTGGATTATTATAGTAAAGAAATGGAGTTTCTAAAGTGTCAAATTATATATAATCCAAGCAACAGATAGAATGAGCTGCACTGTTATGGCTTGTCACATTCCCATACCTTTAACCAATATGACCTATTATCTCAACTCATTCTGAGAGATGGTTGTGACATCTGGACTACCTCTAACCACACTTGACCTCAGGGTTTACTGGAGACATCCTGTAAGATTTGTGCACATACTGTATGTTCACAGGTGAAAATGAATAGATACTAAGTTTATAAAAGTCCTACATCTTCATTTAGTCAACTTCATTTTAATCTTAAAAGAATTTGTTTATAAACTTACATATAATTTCCGTCCTCACCAACAAATTCTGCCATGCAGCGGACAGCTATGACATGGAAAGGTTGAGAAGCCAAGATGGCGGCTGCTCTTCCAGCTGACTCCCGAGTAGTATTCTGAAGGAATCGCTGAGTTCGCTCCTTAACTGTCAACTCTTCAATGTTGACTTCACCATCAAGTTCCTTGTACAGTAATGTAAAAAACCCAGAAAAATTATTAAAGTTTTGTGCTGCCAAAAAAAAAAAAAAAAAAACGAGTACCAGACCACTTGAGTAATGGCACATAAAAATTACGAAACAAATCTTGGAAAATTATTATTATTATTTTTATTTTAAATATCTTGTGTATTTTGTGAGTCGTTGTTATTGTTGTGAAGCAATGCAGCATGAACTGTGTGGTCACGCCTGCTAGCATATTGTTGTAAGTGTGAGCCACTTCATCTTCGCTAAAAGTGAGTCCCATACACACCCACATCATTTTCACTACATAACACATGTTGCCAGGCAGCTGTGACCTTGAGATGGCTATGCATGTTGTCACTAATTCATGTAATGAAACTGGAAAAGTTGTGAGAAAATAATTTTAGTACTCTAATGTGACTTAGGAATAAAGGAAATATAATGTAGAACTATGAAAAAGAAAAATGAAGAGCATGAGTGTAAACAGTATTCTGTGTGGGAGGTGAAAGTATGTATAGGTGCGTCAAGCTTTTCCCAATGTGAAGTCACAGCATACACTAAGTAGTAGGCACGCATCTCTCAAGTCAGCTGGCTGGCTGAACTCCCTCACTCTAGACGTCACACATAGGATGGTTCAAGGACCGAGGGAGCTATTTTTCATACATAAAATATGTGCTATTGTAAGATAAGCTATGAATTATTTTTGTTGTTTAGTGTAGCAATTCTCTCTCATTTTTGGCCTATATAAAATACAGACTAACAAAGGATTGGAAGCTATTCCCTTTTACTCACTGTCAAATCTACCTATAACAATGAAGTTCCCGAGAACGAAGTGGATCTCAAGAACTTATCCACTTCATTGCCAGAAGTATATCAACATCATCCACTTTATTTCATGCCATATACAGTACATACATACATACATCAGGACTCAGGAACCTTAAAAAATCTTCTGCGCGGCTCAGAAAGATTTTAGAAGCTAGAGCCTTACCTACATCGATTAACTTTAAAAAAAAGAGCTGAATTTACTGAAAGTATAATACTATACATCATAAGTATGATCATTTTACTTGAACTAATTTATTATGAGCTTAAATAAGCCAATCTGTGTTAGTGTAATATGCTGGGTGTTGTTTTGAACAGTTGTGCCTCCCTGTTGGTGTGGACGTCCGAATAACGTATTCCATCTGAGTAACGACATTGCTGTGGCTTAATTAGTCCGGTACTCGTTTTTTTTTTTTACTGCGTACTACATTTATAACACACACACACATTTTAGCCTTTAACAGAAGTAGATGACACTCACCCCAAGGAAAACAAAAAGTAAAGAGAAGATGTATATTACAACAAATTAGTACACAGGCTTTACAATCAATAGCAGCACTTTACCTTAAACTTGATGCTTTCTGTGACTCTCTGAAATGCCACACCACTAACAATGTTGGCTGCTAGTTTTGGAGTTAGGCCACGGTAGCAACCACTGAATCCATCACGTTTTTTTATGTACGAAACTGCAATGGGAAACAAGTACAGGAATAATTGCCATAATTAGAAGTTAATGTACATATTAGAAAAGAAACAGGTCATTAAATGGAGAAGGTATAATATACAATGATATGAATTAAAACCTTCTATCAACACCACTGGGACAGGACAGTACTGCGCAATATAAGCAATGAGGTGTCTTGAAAGGATATACAGTGGGGTATGCTATAACGAACGGATCCTACTACGAATATTCCTATAACGAACGGTTTTACCTATAAAATTGAGAATGCTATAACGAACGCAACTCCTACAACGAACGCGGATGAATACGGGACTATTTCGCCTGGCGCATGAATATTGTTGTACAGCGACCCACAGTCAGGTGCCATGTGGTTGAAATTCACACGTTATTTGTATAACTATTTTGTTATACATGTATACAATTGTAACAATGAGTCGTCCAAAGCGAGTGAGAAAGCTAATAACCCTTGAAACTAAGAAAGAAATTATAAAGAAACGTAAGATTGGAAGGAGCATTGCGAAACTTAGTGATGAATATGGGATGGCTAAATCGACTATATGTACGATTTTGAAGAATAAAGAGGAGTTAAAAACTGTGCAAGTGGCTAAGGGAATCTTTAGACTTAGCAAAGCAAGGTGTAATGTGATTGAAGAGATAGAAAATTTACTCTTAGTGTGGATAAAGGAGAAAGAAATGGCAGGTGGTAACATTAGTGAAGCTCTAATTTGTGAGAAGGCCAGACAATTGTTTGAGGACCTTAAAGCCAAGACTCCCAGTGGAAGTGATAGTGATGTGCCAGTGTTTAGGGGTACCTGCACGCTGAATAATACTAAGGTAAGATAGAGTACTGTATTTTTTACATTTTCCACAGAATTTTTTCAGTGTTAAGCGGTTGTATTTGGGGGCCTGGAACGGATTAATCCTATAACGAACGAGGTTCTGGAACCAATTACGTTCGTTATAGCATACCCCACTGTAGTTGTAAAGATAAAATTTCACCATGAGAATTTTAATCATACAAAAAATCATCAGGGATTTCAAATTACTCCCACCTACAAGAATGAAAGGAGATAGGATATAAAGTGCGTACTGATTGTCATAAAACATATAAAGGCATTAAGGGGCCAATAGCCCTTGAAAAGTGCACCATGCTGAAAGACCAATCAAAATTTGATAATTACTGTATACAGTACTCTGAAAGCACAGTTATTACCAGTAAAAGGTGACTATTGGCAACAGTAAACACCCACTAATTAAGGCTTCAATATCCTATAAAATCTGGATAATCCATAGCCTATCTGACCTATTTATACTTTCAGGATAAATCAGGATTGATTATTTTGAAATCACTTTACTGTATCTGGTCAAGCCAATAACAAGGTAATTTATCATAATACTGTATGACTTACTTTTACTTTTATCCTCTTTGCCACTGATCAGCTCATTAGCCGCTTGGGTGGTCAGTCACGTCTCTGTTATGCACTATTGGCAAGTACAGGGCATGTGCTGGTTCCTGAATGTATCTGAACCTGCTCCAGTGCTGGTCAAGTCTGGTCCTGTAACAGCTCACACTCGATACCGGCACAACACTCTCTGGCAGATTGTTCCAAGAGTTTACAACCCTCACTCCGAAAAAGTTTGCCTTCACAGTTTTCTGGACTTGCGGCTTCTTCAATCTTGAGCTGTGACCCCTTGTGGGGCGAGTGTCCGCCAGCTCCAAGTAAGGACACTCGACTGAGTAGTGCCCCTTGAGATGCTTATACACCTCAATTAGGTCACCCCTTGCCCGTCTGTAGTATAAGCTAGGCAAGTTTAGGTGCTTCAATCTCTCAGGGTAATTGAGGTGCCGAAGTGCAGGCACCAGTCTGGTGGGCCTCCTTTGAACATTTTCAACCAACTGACAGTCCCTAGCATATCTCGGGGACCAGACGGGGTGACAGTACTCCAGATGGGGAAGCACTTCTCTCTTGAAGATCATTACGAGGGACGGACCGTCTAGTTATCTGAATGACCTCCTTATAAGACCTAATAAATTTAGTTGCTTGATTCACCTTCTTTTCAATGGCCCAAGAACTTCAGTTCATTGTCAACATACATAACCAGGTCCATTTTGCATTCAATATCTATTAATGCAGTTTCTTCGTCCCATTGGGACATATGATATGCCTCCTAATATGTCAGCAAGTGCTGATTTATTAACTCATCCCATTTCTTCATATACTGTTAGAGAGACTAAGCTATTCGTATATTATTACAGTATTACCCCGCCTAACGCGGTTTCACTTAGCGCGTTTTCGCATATACGCGGTGCCTTGCCAGAGCTGAACTTTCACTTAACACGGATTTTTTCCACATATACGCGGTGAGTGTCCGGCTCGAGATGCTATTTTTAGATTTTGCCCACGCGCCACCCGCCCGCCTGCCTGCCTGTGCTCCTCGCCTCTCCCTCCTCCTCCCTCCGCTTGGGCAAGCCGCGCGGTAAGGTTGCGCAGTGTGTCTTTGTTGCGTTATCACTGACGTCATATGACGTATCGGACTGTGATTGGCCATGCATCCCTACCCCCCTCTGCTGCTAGCTGTAATTGGCTTAAAGTATTATGACGTGACCACCCCGGGGGGAGGGAGGGAGGGAGGAGAGACGACGCTTGACCTAGCCGCGGCAGTTTCATCCCTCAAGGCCACCCCGTGTTAACGCGCATCCATTGTTCCGTAAAATGGCTTCCGCCGGACCACCATCGCCCCCAGAGAGAGACCTTTCCTTACCTGGACCCAGCGGCACTAAGCCAAAGAAGACACGACGTTCATTAAGCTACGAGGTGAAGTACCAAATTGTTCAAGATTTGGAGAAAGGAAGACGGCAAGTTGATCTCGCGCGCCAGCATGGCGTCAACGAATCTACGATTCGTACGATCAAGAAGGATGCAGCCAAGATCAAAGAGCACATGAAAATCACAAAGTCTGCAGGTGCTTCATCTATCAGGTATTGCCAGAACAGGGTGCTGGCAAAAGTGGAAAATTTGCTGGTGAGTTATTTGGTGCGTCAGGCGCGACGCAACATGGCGGTGGACACGCGCTCAGTGCAGGAGTACGCACGTGAGCTATACGCAGCAGTGACACGTAAACTGGGAATTGCAGAGCCCAAACCCTTCAATGCTTCCTCTGGTTGGCTGCATAGGTTTAAGAAGAGGAACAAGATCACCAACATCAACATTGGTGGTGAGGAAGCGAGTGCTGACCGTGTGGCGGCTAGAGATTTTCCTCCGTTTTTACGTGAGATTATGGAGGAAGGACAGTACAGTGACGACCAGGTGTTTAACATGGACGAATCTGGTCTTTTCTGGAAAAAGTTACCTTCCAAGACCTTCGTTGTCCAGTCTGCCAGCAAGGTAAGGGGTCGGAAGTTGCAGAAGGAACGCATCACCGTCCTGTTTACCACCAATGCCTCCGGTACCTGTAAACCAAAGTTATCGGTGATTCACAAAGCCCGCAAGCCGCACGCCTACAAGAATATGGACATGAACAAGCTTAATGTCCACTGGCTAACCCACGTAAGGCGTGGATGTCCTCTTCTCTGTCCCTCTTCTGGTTTGACAACTGTTTTGTTCTTGACGTGCAGAAATTCTGCGAGCAACAGAATGTTCCATTCAATATTTTGTTGCTCCTTGACAACGCACCTGGACACTCGCCCCTACTTATGGATCGTCACCCCAACGTAAAAGTGGTCTTCCTTCCTCCCAACACTACGTCATTAATCCAGCCCATGGACCAGGAGTTGATCTGCAATGTGAAAGCTGCGTACTCTGCAAAGAAGTTCAAGCTCCTGAACGACTCTACCAACACCAAGGATGAGTTGCGTAAGCTGGGTGACACCGACAGCGAGAGCAAAAGCGACGAGGACAAGGAACAAGAGGCGGTGACTCAAGAACTTCTCGTCAAACAATTTTGGAAGAAGTTTAACGTTAAACAAGCTGTAGACTTCTTGGTGGAGGCATGGGATCTGCTGACTATTGCTACGATTCGTCACGCATGGAGACATGTGTTGCATGGCATACCAGGTGAGAGGAGGAGTGAACCTGTGACTGGTCAGGTTCAGACTGTTGCAGTAGCAGTGGACCTTGCCAGAGAAGCTGCGCTCAATATTACAGCTGAAGGCTTCTCCGAGACCACCAACGAAGACATCCTGGAGGTGATCAAAGATCCTGAAGTGACTGCCGACGAGATGTTGGAAGAAGAACACGCCAGTGAAGAGGAGGAAGAAGGTGCGTCATTCTCCGAAGAACCTAGTTTAAGTCATAGTGATATTAAGTGTGCCATAGAGTTTACAGAAAAAATTAAGTCCGTCCTTTCCCGCGACAATGACGATGAACGCTATGAAGTCTTCCATACCCGACTGGTGCAGGCTATGGAGCCGTACATCAAGGTGTATCACGACAACATCAACACCAGCCGTCAGCAAAGCATAACCGAGTTCTTCGCCCGCAACCCACCACAGCCAGCCCAAGCCAGTGATAGTGAAAGTGAAGTTGACTTTGAGGGATTTGTCAGGGAAGCCCTGACAACTGTAAGTGACAGTGATGTTGATTCACCTAGTAATGGTGATTCACCTGAGGGCCAGTAATCTGCCCTCTGCCTCGGAACCAGCCTCCATCCCCGTATGCCGACCCATCTCTTCTACTACCGTAAGTGTTCCACAAAATTTTTCGTTTTTTAACCTATTCTTTATTTTTCCTATGTTAACCTTTATCTTTCCTAACCTAACCTCTTCTATATTACTTGTTTTTTCATACCATCATAAAGTTAAGATAGAATTTTTACTACAACATAGTTATGTGTCGTCAAAAAGTGGAGTTTGGGGGTCGGGCTGGGTTCTATTGGAATTAATCCCATATGTTCTGTTGTTCACTTAACGCGGATTTCACTTAACGCGGGACCCTCTGGGTTCAATTGACCGCGTTAAGTGGGGTACAACTGTATTCACTTTTTCTCTATTTTAAAGGTAGTGCACAGTATATACAAGAATGTATCCTGTAGCCCCAGAAGGGCCTTATTTCCTAATGCACAGTATTTAAGCCCAGGGAATCTATAGTTATTGATTATTTTGACTCCAGTACTAATTGTGGAGCTCAAACTGGAGCCACTACCAGTACTCCTATAAAGTACAAGGTGGGAGTCCAACTGACCATCACAAACACCTTCATTAAACTCCAATTAAATGGCTATGATCAGTAATTCTTGAGACTTGTATGCAAAGAATAAAAATGTTACTTTAATAGTCAATATTATGAACCAAAGTTCAGTTGCTGCATGAAAACTATATTTACAAAGTTAAATAAAAATTTTTAAAAGAAACTCAAGAAACAGCCAGGAACTATTGTACTGTACAGTGATGGAATGAAGAACCTTGCTGGGGTTTTGACGACTACATCACAGAAGTGTTAGCCACTTGACACATGTATGTGTGGCGTCCATAAACAGTTGGCAGGCCAATGGAACCTTGGAAAAGGGTCACTTGTGGTACCATTCACTGTGTCGGGTAGTCAAGTTTCTTTATACAGTACTACAGCCAAAGCTGGAAGAAACTGTACTTCATTATTTCACTGTACATGTACAGTATCTAAAAGTAAGTTAAAGTATACTGTGCGGTACTATAACAACAAAACTTATTCTTCCAAGTCTCCATTGCATGAATCGAAGTACAGTAGTCAGTGACAGAACAGCTGCCGACAGGAACTGAAGGCCGAGGTTCGGTACCAAATTGTTGAATTGGGAATTCACAAAACTGAGTCCAACTTGCCATGCTGTTAGTCTTTGAAATAACCATTAAATCCAGATTTTACACCTTGATTTGATGGGGTGAGAATAATGCAAGCTTTCACTTTCTATCATGACACTGCTCTATGGAATCAACATGCCAACAAATCAAACTGAGTCAGCAGCCAATGTAAACTAAGTCCTGTACTCTTGCAACATCAACAAGTATACCACAAAAGTAATACAAATACATACAGGTAAACCTTGATTTACGATGGGGTTATGTTCCTGAAAACTCCATCGCAAATCGAAATATTGTAAATCTAGCTCATTAACATGTGGTTCAATGGGACATGTTCTCAGCCAGTTAGGACACACACACATATCACCGAAAAAAATTCCTCTGCTAATAAAATAAATAGAACACAATTTAACAACACTCAACACATCATTAAGAACAAGCCTGGCCGCTTCACCTTGGCCTTCCCAGTTGCAGGAGCCTTCAGCAACAGCTTGCTAGATATTTTCAAAGTTACACTGCACATTTCAGTCACAAAAACAGAGCGAAACCACTTCGCAACCACAGCAAATTTGAGGATAAATAAAAATAATAATAAATAAAAGAAAAGAAAAACATTGAGTTGCAATTTAGCAATCATTTCAAGGGACACGAGACAGAACAGCTGATGGATCCCTTATTCCTCTTCTCCCTTCCCCACTACGACAGTTAACTCTAGTGCATATAAGAAATGTTTATTCCCTTTATGTTTTTGAACTTAAGATTTATTTTTTTTTGCACTTTCTGTATGAATGATTGTGTGTGCATGTAACCTAGTTCAAAGAAAATTTAAGAAAACTACGTACAGGCATATCTACCTGAAATTAAAAGTTGGAAAAAAAATGCAGCTCGCAGCTTGGCCTGCTAAGAGGAAGCCGAGATCCCCAACACTGCACCCCTCTCCCCTTTCCCTCCCATGATCCCCGCACTTAACTCCTGCACATAAGAAATGCTTTTTCTCTTTATGTTTTGACCTTATGATAATCATTTCTTTTTTTTTGCACTTTCTGTATGAACAATTATGTGTGCAGTTAACAGGTGAATCATGCAACTAAACTATTCGGTCTTATGACAAGGTAGTTCAGATATCTAGACGGTCTGTCCCTTGTAATGACCTTCAAGAGAGAGGTGGTTCCCATTTGGAGTACTGTCACCCTGTCTGATCCCCGAGATATGCTGGGACTGTCAGTTAATTGAAAATGTCCAACGGAGGGCCACCAGACTGGTGCCTGCACTTGGGGACCTCAGCTGACAGAAACCCGCCCCACAAGGGGTCACAGCTCAAGGTCGAAGAAGCCGCAAGTCCAGAAAATTGCGAGGGCAAACTTTTTCGGATTGAGAATCTTGAGTTTTGGGAACAACCTCCAGAGTGTTGTAATGGCACTGAGAGTGAGCTGTTTCAAGACCAGACTTGACCAACTGTGGAGCAGGTTCAGATATATTCAGGAACAAGTGCATGCCCAATACTTGCCAACAGTGTGTAAGAGACATGACCCACCACCCAAGCGGTTAACGAGCCGATCAGTGGCGAAGAAGATAAAAGTAAAGTAAAAGTAAAACTATGTGTTAAAAAATAACCATAACAGTTTACAGTCGGCACAAAGAAACTTTTATTCCTTTTATGTTTTTAACCTTATGAAAATTACTTGTTTGCACATTCTGTATGATTGTGTTTGCTTGTACAGGTAAAAAATAAAATAAATAAATAAATATTGCCTGAAATTAAGTGTTGTTCAATAACATACCTCACAGCTCGGCATCACCCGCTCCGAGTGCTATTGGATGGCGAGTCGAGTGACTCGGCTACACCATTATGTGCCATCATCACAGATATTTTTCCTTGTTATCCCTTGTGTAGGATATTATTTCTTGTTCTCCCTTGTGTAGGATATTATTTCTTGGTATACCTTTTGCAGGATATTATTTCTTGTTATACCTTGTGTAGGATATTACTTCTTGTTATACCTTGTGTAGGATATTCTTTATTGTTATCCCTTGTGTAGGACAATATTTCTTGTTATACCTTGTGTAGGATATTATTTCTTTTTATCCCTTGTGTGGGATATTATTTCTTGTTATCCCTCGTCTAGAGATCATTTCACATTAACAATAAATTTTTCAGGAATGCATCTCAACTGTTTAACAGGGAATGCCTGTACAGTACAGTATTCAGCATGACAGCGAATTTGACTGGGTGATGGCCATCGTTATTGCGAATATTTTGATCACAGATGTGAAGGTGGTCTTAAAACATCACCATGATTTAAGCAAACTATCATAAATCGAGGTTTACCTGTATATTTAGACCGCAAGGCCAAAATAGAAACACAAACAAGGGCAACTGTATATGTGGCAGCATTTATCTTCAACCAGGAATAGGGTAACTGTAGAATACTGTATGGAATGATTAGGAATATTCCAAGTACAGTACTGTAGTGCAGTGGTAAGCCTTGCATCCACAGGATAAAATGTGGCCATCAATTGTCACTTTTGGGCCCCATGGTAATGGTTGTATGACAGATTAATTGATTCAAATACCTGTACCTAATTTTCCGGATTAGTTAATTATTCAACCTGTCTATTTAGCAAGAGTTACACATGTTAGTGAAGGGGTTAATAAATGGATGTAAGGAAAATAATGGTGTACTTACTATAACTAAATACACTGGGATAGTAGAATGCTTCACGCCCAAACACTGTTCTTGACTTGTATGGGCTCAGTGGCTCATGACCAAGCTGTAATAGAATGACTTATGAGAGTACAGTATCATTAAAATTATTTTTATTTAAAGTATATTACATTTTCTTTTACCCTACCTTTCCCTACACTGATGGGAGATTAATATACTGTACACTGGAGATTCCTATACAGTAGTACTGTATTTTTGTGAGTATCAGCTATCTCCATGGTTTCAAATACATTTAACCTAACAAAGTGATAAAATTCCTCTGAAATGTAGCTCCACTACTGCTTTCGCTATTTTTCCTCAAAAGCAACAATGTTATAGCTACCGCTAATAAATTGGGTAATGTTTAAGGACAAGGGTCTGGGTTAATCAGTAACCCACCAAAAATTTATCTACAGAAGAAAATTTATTTCTAACCTCAATAATAAAACAAATTGCCTGGAGGAAGTATCAGGTGTACATGGCTTCAAAATGGCCTCAAAATGCCATGACATTGGTCAGATTTAAAAAAAAATCATGGGGGGGGGGTTACAGTGCCATGTTCCCCCACCCACAACTTCTCTTTGATATTCCTGGATCCACCACTATTCTCTGATGCATTTTGAACACTTGCACGTCATGCCAATACCGCATTTTATGGCATATAAGACACACAGCCCTATAAGATGCACCCCACATTTTAGCAGGGAGTATTTAGGAAAACCTTTAGTTCATATTTTCCTTCACTCCTGGCACAAATCAATAGTTTCTGAGATATGCATCCCCTCCCATTTCAGAATCTAAGAGATGTGCTATAAAAATCAAGGTAAAAAGTGTTCAAAACTCATCGAAAACCACCAGAAAAAGTTTTGAATCTAACCTAACCAGGGTGTGTACTGCTACGTCATTCCAAGTTCTGGGTGTGTACCGCCACATACGAATACTGTATATACATAATAAAATATTAAACATCTCACTTAAACGTAATTTGCACCAGAAATGCCACTGAAGAAAAGTGTCTTAGAATTGTCAAGATTACCGATTAACAACAATTATAAAATTCACGAAATTCATTTAGTGGCAACAAATGAAAGCTAAATTTTCATGGCAGTGGATATTTTCCCTTAACCAGCTAAATCCCTATAATGCTAATTTACCGTGAGTGCACTCTGATTGGCTAATCATCCATTACCGGCGAACAACACAAAAACGATATGTGACCGTCACTGGCAGCATTTGGCATATATTTTGCTGAGTCAATCATTGTGTAGCTACAAACATACCTAACCAGGAGTTGTTCAATTTTGTTCTTTGTTTTTCTACAGATGTTCTTATCATTATAAAAGAGGTGACATTTACTTGAACCTAATAGAGCCTGACCTAAACAACCAAAGAAACCAACCAAACCTTACCTACCTTCCTAGCCAATCAGAGCGCACTCACAGTAAAATAGCATTAGAAGGAACTTAACTGTTCACTGCAAAATATCCACTACGAATTTTCATAGATAATAAAATGTTTGGTTATTATTCGGTTTAGCACATCTTCAAATTGCATAGAAGCACTTACTTTTAGACAATTTCTACCTCATATATACATTCCTCAACTCTTGAAGCCTCTTGGAAACTTGTTTCTTTCAGAAAAATCGCACAAGTGAGGAACACCTAAGAAATTAGATATATAAATCACCACCTGCCATTTCTTGTCCCACCGAGAGCTGTCTGAAGTCGTGAGGCGTGTCACACTGCCTGCCCCCCGTAGGGATTAAGGCTCCCTCCAGGGGTTAGGTTAAGGTAGGTTAATTTAATGAAAGTTAGGGGTCTAGATGTTTCGTTTCTGATGTATTTGGAGGTAAATTTTTACATGCAGACAACCATGAATTTTTTGTTAAGTAATGTGTCTTTCCGTTTTTGATCAAGGATGATTTGCATCTTTTTTTAATAAACGATGCATTTCCCATGGAAATGAAGGTCAGATCTGAGTAAGTATATAGGACTAACCCGCAAACAAAATTGATTGAAAACAATTATAAAAATGCCGGATTTTCATTGTTATATTATAGTGGAGACTGTTGTGCTGTAGTTTGTGGAAAAATGTTAAAAAAATTATATTTTTAAAATAAATGCTACTTAACATTTGTGGGTATGAAGAACAGACCTAACCTACCAAACCAAACAAACCTACCTAACCTTACCCAACTTCCCCGGTATATTAAACAGAAAGAACTTCCTGCAATATGGTGAAATTTGAGGCATTTTCTGGACACGAGATGATACGGCCACATCGGCGCTATGCAGCCCTGGCGGGTTAGTCCTATATATTAAACAAGATCTGAACACATCAAAATACATAATAAATCAAACATCTCGTGAAAAATTCGAGTGTGCTAAGAATAATTACCACATGTTTAATATATCGCTTATATATAATTTTCGCCAGAAATGTCATTAAAGAAGTGTCTTAGAATTGTAAAAACTAATAATTGCAACTAAAAAATTCCCTAGATTCGTTTGGTGGCAACAAGTGAAATAATACCCTTTAATCTACACCTTTACCTCTAAGTGTAGACATATTTTGTGAAGCAGAGTAAAATTTTAACCCTTAACATCCTAAGCAATAATATCAATTCAAGTTGTCTGTTAACATAATGGTTAATCATCCTTGTTTAATAATCGTTATCCAGTAACATGTTTTTCTGCGATTTGCAATCTAACACAATACATTAATACACAATTTATGTGTAAAGATCCCGTCAAAATATTCAAATAAATTATATAGCTTCTGTTTCCTTCACATATTAGTCATGTAGTATTGGTATAATGCGCGTATATTACACATTAGGTAGTATGGCCCATAACCCCACCTTCCGTATCAGCTGACTTCTTACCGGGACCCAAACAAAACCATCTTATTAGAGCACTTACACGCTTAACTTGATTGACAACCAAATGAATCCATACCTGAATTAGAACTTTAGCATATTCGATGGGATGTGTTGTTGAATTAAGGAAAACACGAACAATAACGTGCATCCAAGTGAGCTCCTCTTTCTTGCCCTGTGTCGCCATGGTTCTGAAGACACGCACTGGGAACGGCAACTGTTTACCCCCATAGTTATTTTGCATTATATATGCAGTCGTTAATATAGGTGGAAATCCTTTTAATTTAATGGTGATAATTTTGCCACTAACTAAACTGAATGTCGTTTCTGGATTGTTCAAGTTATCGAGGTTAACCTGTTTGACCTCTAGTTCGTCGTACTGCAAATAACGTGTCTTGTGTCTACTGTATATACCCACATATTGGTATTGCAGAGTACTTCTTTGCTTCCTTATATAGATCAAATTGGTAATATCAGTAATTTATGGAAAATTAAAAATTTATAGGTCTAAAATAGCGAAAACTAAATTTATTATAACGGCACACAACTAACACAATACTGTACTGTACTCTCCCACTACCCCTTTTTTTCACTACGCAGGGGGCAGATCCAGGAATATCAAAAGGAGGGAGGGTGGGGGGCAAGAAGTTGTGGTTGGGGGTATGGGGTTTCGTGAAGTTGTCTTGTAGCGTACTGGCCAGTTGTCAATTCTCTTTAGTTGTCTATTGTCTCTTTGTATAGGCACACAAACGTACGTATATGTAGATATCTCACACTCAGGAATGAGGTAGAATAGAAACTCACAATGCGTTTTTTGTGTATATATATTGTTGTACAGTGCAGTGCTAAGGAGTTACTAGGTGAGGAGTAGCTTGCTCTCAGAGGTCCTGTTGGGTGAGGAGCTTTCTGAGGGAGCTGGTTGGTGAGGCGCTGTAGGGAGGTCTTGCTGGTCCAGTAGGTCAGAGTAGAATGGTCTCCCTGGTTCAGTTCAAGTTTAGAAGCTCCAAAAAAGTTGTTGGTAGCGAAAGGCAGAGCGGGGCAGCCGTTGTTGTTGTTGTTGAGATTGTCGGACCGTAGTCCGACACGGGCCTTTGCCTATAGGCGGCTCGTTCGGTGGTTCCGGCTGGAGCTCCTGGAGCAGCCAGACCAGATTGTGATTGTAGGTTGTCCTACCGGCAGATATGGAAGGATACTGCAGGTTGCAAGTGTGAGCGGACCCCCGATCAGTGGACGCTTACCACCAACCCCCACTCTTGGACGTGGTCAGTTTCGGGGTGGCGCGCCCCCCGAACCGGGGTCCGCACTTGCTGGGAGAGGATACTTTCTAACCTATCTGGGTGGTGGGTATCGTGTGATGACCCGGAGAAGGTGGTGAATGTGGTTTGTTTGGGCCTTTCGGGTTAGAGTGGCCGCTGGTATTGTGTGTGCTTCTTGGAAGTTTTGAGTTCTGTTTCGGAGGCTTTGTGTGACTTCGCAGTCGAGGAGATAGTGTTCAAGTGGGTTGGCTGCTGGCTCCTGACAGTAGGTGCAATCCATGACGTCATTTCCGATCATCTGTCAGGAGCACTTGTACCCTAGTCGTAGTCGATGAAGGCTAACTTGGTTTGTCTTGGTGTTTTCTTGTCTGCGAAAGGTGGTTCTCCTTTTGTAGCCGCCAGGTACCATTTGGCTGATTGGGAACCGGCGTTGAATGCGTCAAGGAAGCTCTTTTGGATGTGGAGCTTGCTAGTCTTTTTGAGGTGATTCTTGATCTGTTGCACACTTGCTGGAACTTGAGTGTGTATGCTACTAGAACGTGTGGCTGCCTTGGCTGCTTCGTCTGCCATGTCATTTTCCTCCGATCCCTACATGACTGGGAATCCAGTGTAAGACGACTGGGCGGTTTTGTCTTTGGAATTCTTGTAGCTGTGCGAGGATGGAGGTTATGATGTGGACGTTGTCTCTTGGTTGACTGTGTTGCAGCGCCTGCATGGCCGATTTCGAGTCCGTGTGAATTATGATGGACTTGTTGTGTTGTGTTGCAGCGTGCAGTAGGGCCTTTGAGATTGCTACCAGCTCTGTTTGTAGGGTGGAGCAGTCATTAGAAAGTCTCCATCGGAGGGTCTGACCTTGGGTGTAGAAGGCCGCTCCGGATCTATGATGTTTTGGATCCACCAAGCCGTCTGTGAAGTATGATGCTGCATCAGCCGGTGTCTCGGTGGCTATGGCTTCCAGAGTTATTTTTTTGAGGTCCTCCTTCTGGAGGTTGGCTTTGCTATCACCTAGGTCGGTAATTTTGAATGTGGCTGGTGGAGGGCTCCATGGTGGAGGAACTACGTAACCATTGTCTCGTGTGTCTTGGTTGTTCTTGACGAGTGTTTCTGCTTGCAGGTGTCGGATGACCTCGCTTGCCTCGTGCGACCAGGTGGCCCCTCGCACTCTGTGGTCGAGGTGGAGGGAGGCACTGATTCGAATTTTGGCAGCTGTGGGCTTATCTGATCTACAGATTTTGGCGAGGAGACAGGCTGTCACCTGCTTGACTCGTACTGCCAGGGGTGGTAGTTCAGTTTCCATTTGCAAATTGCAAATTCTAGTCCACATGGGTGCTCCGAGAATGGTCCTGAGAGCATTATTTTGGATGACTTCTAGCTTAGCTATCTGGTCTTCTCTCAGTCCAATGAATGCTGGAGCACTGTAATCTACCAGCGATCTGATGGCGGCCGTGTAGTAGGCTTTGAGCACATGAAGGTTTGCTCATGCGGTTGTGCTGGTGAGCGACCTCATTATATTGTGTCTGCTCTTCGTCCTGTGCCTGAGATACTCGAGTTGCGGCTTAAAAGTGAGTTTCTGGTCAAACCAGATTCCAAGACACTGGTGGGTGTTGGTCCAGACTACCGGCGTGTTTTGTATGGAGAGCGTCTTGTCTGGTGTGTCTGTGCAGATGGCCATCGCTTTCAACTTGGCTGGATTTATCTTGAGTCCAAGTCAGTTGCACTCCTCTTCTATAAGTTGGAGTGCGTGTTGCGTGTTGTTAGTCTGTTTGATCCTCTTACTATAAGCTGTAAGTCGTCTGCATAGCATAGGAGCTTGGCTGTTTGTCTGAAAGGAAGTTTGACAAGATTTTCCCTCAGGACATTGAACAGCATTGGACTGAGGATGCCTCCTTGTGGGGTTCCGTTTTCATGGACCCTGTAGCTTGAGGTTGCTCCCTGAAAGCGTACTCTTGCTTCTCTCTGTGTGAGGTAGTTCTGGATCCACCCCAGCAACCTTCCTTTGACGCCTTTTTCAGCGAGCGTCGTTATAATGGCCAGTGGATTTGCTAGTTCGAAGACCTTCTCCAGGTCGAGGAAGACCACCAGAGCTGGTTTGTAGTCCACTGTGCTGAGTATCTCGGCGATGTTGTTGCCTGTGCCGGTGTTCTCGGTGTAAGCAAAAATGTGAGGGTGTGGGCTGCCTACTTTCCACTTGAGTCGGTTGAGAGCCATTCTTTCTCCCGTCTTCCCTATGCAGCTGAGAAGGGAGATGGGCCTCGGTTTTTCTGGTTCTCTGGGCTTCGGAATGGGCTGTATATCTGCCTTCTTCCATTCCGGTGGAAGTCTTTGTGCTGTCCACGAAGCATTTATGACTTGTAGCAAAGCCTCGTGTCCGGCTGTACCGGCATGAGAAAGCATGGAGTAGGTTATCCTGTCGGCCCCTGGTGCTGTGTCCTTGCTTCGTTTTAGCGACTTCTGGAGTTCTTGCTGGTTGAATGGTCTGTCAGTGTCATCTTCACTGTTGCAGGCCTCTTCGATCATCTGGAGTCTGACCTGTCGCAGACGCCGTTGTGTCTCCTCCGCCTGTCTCGGGAGGTTTTTCGTTGCTGCTCGGTCAGAGAACAGTTTTGCAAGTCTTTCGGCTTCCTCTTCTGGGTTGGGATGGGTTGGTGGTAGTGGTGTTGCCTTCCCAGATGCCCTTCGGATCTGGGCCCACATCTTGCCAAGGGAGGTGTGCTCGTTCAGTTCGGAGCACCACTTTAGCCAGCTTACGTTTTTTATTTCTTCCTTCTCTTCCCTGGTATCCTTAACTATGACCTGTTTGTTTCCGTGGGATATCTCCTGTAGTTTCTTCGGGTCATGTTCACTCTGTGGTTGAGTTCTTTCACCCTGGGACAGTAGTACCAGTAATCATTGTACTGTCTTGATGTGGGTTTTGTTTTTGGGATAGCCTCTTCTGCCGCTTGGTGAAACGCCTCGACCAATTGTTGGTGGAGGGTTGTCTCATCCACGGGTGCTGCGCCGGCCGGCTGTGATTTTTCGCGCCACTTAGCCAGGTGTTTCTTAAAGAGTCCCCAGTCTGCCTTTTGGGTATTGTATCTCCATCTCGGCGGGGGTGGAGTGGGGAGTTTGTTCACCTTCAGCGTTGTTAGGGTGGCGAAGTGGTCGCTGGTCAGCGTGGGGTGTAGCTGCCAGGAGGCCGAAGGCTGTAGTGCACTGGAGACGAAGGTTAGATCTAGCTTTCCTCCCCTAATATGGGTGGGCTCTCTGGTGTTCAGGAGGCAGATCTCGGGTGTGTCTTGAAAGGTGGTGTATAGGTGTAGGCCGTCTTCATTTGTGGGGCTTACCGAGCTTAGGAAGGGATGATGTGCGTTGAAATCCCCTCCTATGAGTGTGGCGTGGTCAGCGGCCGAAGCGAATAATTGAGTCACCTCCAGTGAGCCCCTTGGGTTCTTGTAGATGTTGTGAACAGTTAATTCCCATTCTTGGAGTGTTACTTTGACGGCCTGTGTCTCGATGTTTTCCCCACATGGAAATTGCTGCATGACCTCGGAGGAGGGTATGCTTGACTTGACCAAGATCATACATCCTCTTGTTGACGCCTGCGTGAAATGCCTCCTGTATGTCTTGTAACCACTGAGTTTGAAACAGTGGTGTTCTTGTAGCAGTATATTGTCAAGCTTGTCCTTGGCTGCTGCTTCTTGCAGGAGGTGTTTCTTGTTTTTGATGCCCTGAGCATTCCATGTAAGGATGTTCAGGGTGCTGATGTTTTCCACCACTGTTTCATCGGGGACTTCTGGTGATCCTCGATGGAAATGTTCAGGTCCGATTCCGACTGGATCAGGTCGGAGCAGCCAGCCACGCCCGTATTTATACAATTCTGGAGCATCAGGATTTGAGATGCGCGTAGCGCGAGAGCCAATCACAGAGGAGAATGCCAGAAGTACCCGGCACTCTGATCCTGGCGTTGCTACGTGTGCGTCCGCAC